GGTAACCCTACCAGGAGCACGAGGCTCCCGACAACACAGCCCTCAGGGTCATAGGGACACACAAACCTCTCCACCACGATAAGGTGACGGTTCCCAGAGAGGGTCAACTAATGTGTTGAATCATTATTTTTAGGGTATTTTTCCAGGCTTCGAAGACGCTGCTCTGCGACACAGCGATTATTGAGTTACACAGAATTTCCCTTTTTGAATGTTATGGTTGTGCCTTTTTCTGGGCTCTCTAGATGAAGGACTCCTGGGTGCTTTCACATTGGAATCCAAGCGACTCCTGCAGTCTTTGCTCATGTGACTAACATTTGTGACCTTCAAGTCGGTGGGTTGTAGCTCCTGGAGGTTGCCAAAAAGGATCTGAGGCAATTCTGACTCACTTTTCAATGAAGGCAACAAGATCGTTATACGCACCTGGCGGTGCATCCCAGTGGGCAGAGGGACTGGGAGAGTCCGGCGGAGTAACCCATACCGGCTCCAGGGCTGGCGCCTTTTCCCCCAGTCCGCGACCCACCGACCCCGGGGAGCCCAGGCGCCCTTCCCAATCCACAGAGAGGTTCTCAAGCGCCGGGGCAGGAGTGTTGGAGGTGCATACATTGAGAAGAATACATTGTGTGCATGGCGATGTTCACGAGTAGCCTGTGGTATCGTTGGAAATTAGGTATGTGGGGGAAAAGCATATAATGAAGGTCGCGTTAGCTCCCGCCTGACGCACCCCGTCATTTTGGGTACAGATTGGCCGGGGTTTGATAAGCTAATGGGGGGGGGATGCGGGGTGGCGTTCACGACCGACAGGGTTATGTGAGATGTGTGCTGTGCTCAGCGGTGACGCGGGGTCGTCCGACGCTGCAGACGGGGAGGGGGAACCTGCGGAGCCTCCCGGAGAGACTCCGCCGGCTCCCGAGTATTGCTCCATGGAAGATTTTCCACTCGTGACGATACCCTACGCTCAGCCTACGACCAAGTGATACTAATTGATGGTCACCTGGTGCACTCGCAGCGCAGTCATTTCCGCACTTGGGACAGACTGTATAGAGTAAGTCGTGACACTCGGACGGAGCAGGAAAACACCCAGTTGCTGGTGCCGAAAAAAGCCGCCAGGAAATGATCTTCCAGGCGGCTCACTATAACCCGATGGCTGGTCACATGGGATACGAAAAAACTCTAGACCGGATAATGACCCGATTTTATTGTCCAGGCATCCGGGGGGACGTGCGCCGCCAGTGAGCGTCCTGCCCGGAGTGTCACTTAGTGAACGCTCCGGCAATTCCGAGGGCGCCGTTGCGTCCTCTGCCGTTGGTGGAGGCTCCGTTCGAGCGGATCGGTATGGACCTCATCGGGCCGTTTCACCGGAGCGCACGCGGATATCGCTTTGTGTTAGTCCTCATGGATTACGCAACGCGATATCCGGAGGCAGTGCTGTTGCGCAATATCTCTGCAAAGAGTGTCGCGCAGGCTCTGTTTCAGGTCATCTCCTCTCGAATCCAAGATGACGCCGTTGATGGCCGCCTCGGTGCTTCGGTGCGCTTCGTTTTTTGTTGTTTTTGTCGTTAATTATGTTTCCTGCTGCGATTCCCGGAGCTCTTTCACCAGAGATGAGCTCTTGAACATCCGTGGAACAACTCCAGCGGAGTTATTTCCAACTTTCCTGCTTTCTTCCGTGGAATTACTGGACATTCTAGTCAAAGGTGCGCTCACCTTTCGTCACGCGGTGAGACGCCGTCGGAGAGGAAAACGGGCCGGCTCGCTGGTGAGACTCCGCAGGCGTGGTTCTCGCACTCCGCTGCCGGGCATCTTTCTCTCCAACGCGCGCTCACTGTGCAACAAACTGGAGGAAATACAGCTGCTGGTGAGGAGAGACGGAGACTTCTCTACATCCTCCGTCTTGTGCTTCACGGAGACGTGGCTCTGCGGATCGATACCGGACTCCGCGCTCCAGCTGGCGGGCTTCCAGCTGCTCCGAGCGGACCGCGACACGGAGCTCTCCGGCAAGACAAAGGGTGGAGGAATCTGCTTCTACTCCAACAGCAGCTGGTGCAACGACGTAACGGTGATCCTACAACACTGTTCTCCTGATCTGGAAACTTTTTTCACCCACTGCAAACCATTTTATTCCCCCCGTGAGTTCGCTTCATTCATTCTGGTCGGTGTTTACATGCCGCCGGCGGGCAACGTGCACGAGGCACAGCGGACACTCGCCGACCAGATGCGGCGTGTGGAGCGGACCAACCCGGACTCTTTAGTTATTGTCCTCGGGGACTTTAACAAAGGAAATCTCAGCCATGAACTTCCTAAATACAGACAGTTTATTAAATGCCCACCAGAGAGGAGAACACGCTGGATCACTGTTACACGACAGTAAGCAGGGCTTATCACGCCGTCCCTCGTGCTGCACTGGGACACTCTGATCACGTCATGGTCCATCTGATTCCTGCATACAGGCAGAAACTAAAGCTCTGCAAACCTGTGGTGAGGGAATTCAAGAAGTGGACCAGTGAGGCGCTGGAGGATCTTCGGGCGTGCTTTGACTGCACAGACTGGGATGGTTTCAGGACTGCTACTGACAGTCTGGATGAGTTCACAGAGGCTGTAACTTCCTACATCGGCTTCTGTGAGGACAGCTGTGTACCATCATGCACCAGGGTGAGTTACAACAACGACAAACCCTGGTTCACAGCGGAACTCAGAACACTACGCCTGCAGAAGGATCAGGCATTTAGGAGTGGGGATAAAGACTTGTACACAGTGGCAAAATACAAGT